GATGTCTAAATTGGCATTTAGTGTTTCATTGAGTTTTAAGAATTATAAATTAATAATAACTCGACGGTTCCACCACCCACAAGATTATCTTTCTTCTATGGGACCATCCATAGGCGTCGGTTCTAGAGATATGTCATTGTCATTCCTCTGTCTTTTGCATTGAACATTGTCGTATATAACCTAATTTTCATAATCTGTTGTGTTATATCGAAGGAGCGGTTAGTTAAGATGATATATTCGTCGTTATAATTCGTTCTCTCGAAACGGAAATTACTTATGAATCAACCTAATGACGTGGGTCTGGTTAAAATGAAGATGTTTTCATTTTTGTTCATATCTGGATAGTTGTTTGTGCGTGTGTACGCTCGTGATTTTTTTCTTTCTTTCTTTCTTTCACTTTTTTCTGTTTTTTTTTTTAGGTTTTTTTAATGTTAATTTAATTTGCTCTTCAACGACATACTTTCGGAAACTATTGTCGATCAGTATTTGTTTTACGTTATTCGATTCTTTTGAAAATAATATGTGTGAAGAAGAAATTAGTTTAGCTTCGTTAACCCTATTCTTTGCAGCAACGACCCTTTGATAGCCGTCATTCCGTTTGATAATTAAGAAAACAAGAATTTACGCTTGTGGGATTTTTATAGACAGAAGTCTATAAAATTCATTAGAATTATTAGACTCTGTCGGATTTTGATAAATCATCAAGAAAGATGATTTTATTATAAAAATCATAAGTAAATTGTTGAACAATTTTCCTCAAAAGTTTCTTTGATGTCTTTTATTTTGTTTACCTTCTTCTCTCTTACGATTACATCACCAATATATTGAACATACAGATTTGGCGAAACTGTTAAAAAGTTTGTTTTCTAAGTGAACTACATAACAATAGTTCTCTCGCACTTCTCGCTTGTGGATTTCTCTTCTGCCTTCTTGCATTCCAGTCAACTTTTTTTCATCAAAAATCCAAATGTAATGTCAATCGTCTTCTTAATTCCTACTCTTTTATTGTTCTCCCTCCTTAATAATATTTTCTTTTTCTTATATTCTATCCCACTCAGTAATTCCTTGCGTTTTAATGGCTTTATTGCCCTGCTTGGGGTGAAATGATTAAAAAATTTTAAAAACTGGAACCAAGAGGCGACCTCATAGCTACTCCATAACTCGATGTTTAGAAGTTTACATAGATAGATTTGTTGATTTAATTTTAGGATGTGTGAGCGAAGAATATTCTTCTTCTTCTTCTTCTTCTTCTTCTTCTTCTTCTTCTTCTTCTTCTTCAGTGTGCCGCGTCCATTTACGATATAAGCGATCATTGCTCTCCACAACTTAGCCCTTAATAGTTTTTCTCAATTTGCTCTCCACACCCCAACGGCCACCTATTCCGCCATTCATTCATACAAGCTCCTAGTTTGCTGAATTCTTCTATCTTACCCTTAATATGTCTCGTGAATGGTTAAGTTTTCCAGACTGTTCTTCCACATTATGTTTTATACATTTTGCAATATTATGTATCCCGTTTATTTGTCATGAACATTAGTAAAAGAGACTTTTGACGTCTAATAAAACAAGGGTAGAACTATAAGTTTTATTTGAGTACAATATTTGAAAAAAAAAAGAACATTACTAGAATTAACATATATTTAATTGATAAGTACGGTAGGAACAATTAGTTTATAGTTTAGATAATTGATACACTGGAGTAAAGATTTTGAAATTATGTAGACATGAATTAGATTTATAATCATAATAATAATCATAATTGTCGGGATACAATTTCAACGTTAGTAGCTATGATAACTTTATTAATTTGGTTCTTGAATAAAGCTAGCAGTGCATTTTGTTTAGTTTTTTTTAATTTAGTTTTATTATCAAGAATCGAATCTAATTTTGAATTTTAATTAGTTCTGTTCAAAATAATAAAAATTTAGTTTTATATCCTTTCTTAATTATGTCGTTGTTATTTGAAAGTTTCTTAAGAGCTTTGGTTAATGATTTATTTAAGAGTGAAGTTCCTTTTCAGTAACGACGACTTATTATGCGTCCAGCTAAAAGCAGGTCGCGAAAACTAGGATGAGTTTTGATGTGTTTATCAGTCAACAACTGTAGAATACTTTCATAGAACGGCAGAATTTCTTTCTTTTTTTTATACAGATGTCAAATTTGGAATATAGATGACAATTCGGTCTTAGGTTAAATAATTCTTTTTCATGGTTGCTAAGTTTATAGTAAGAGAGGTTAATTAAGTTATCCGTGAATTTGCAAAATATATTTTCCATGGCAAATAACGTTCGTCTTTTCTAGAATAATTAGCTTATGAGTAATATATATATATATATATATATATATATATATATATATATATATATATATATATATATATTACTCATAAACCAATTATATACAGATCACATTTATGTGCTGAACCAAAGTGTTCATTCTTGTGTCTCATTGTCAAAATCTAGAACTCTATTCCCAATATTGTGCTCTTTCCCCATGAATATGATATGACATATATTGAACAATGTGTGTATAGATATAGTGCATAGTATATATATATATATATATATATATATATATATATATATATATATATAAATGTTATACATATCTATACACACACACACACACACATATATATATATATATATATATATATATATATATATATATATATATATATATATATATATATATATATATATATATATATATATATATATATATAAATAAATAAAAAAAGGCACGGTAGAGTAATAGATAGCGGCTTGGATTGAGGAATCGGAGAGCCAAGTTCGAATTCCAGTCGAATCCATATGTATGAATCCTCTTCTTCTCCCTCCAGCTATGAGTAAATAGCAGGACATACTGTGTTGTATAGCCGTCGCTGAATTCAAAACGTGCAGAATGGCGTTTGGGAACCTTGTGGGACGTAGTAAACCGGGTCCCATGTGCTTGTCTCGGGCTTTCGGTTCTTGCTTGACCCGCATACGTCGAAATCGACGGGAGAGTCGAGCGAGTATATATGCATATATATATATTATTCGATGTTATATTATATATATATATATATATATATATATATATATATATTCATGCATGCATACACAATACACACACACACACACACACACATATATATATATATATATATATACATACCCTCTGACGAATGGGCGGAGTGATAGTTTTTCAAATTCCTTGTTACAGTCTGCTGGGAAATCCATATCAATTTTTTCTTTTCGTTTTTTGACAATTATGTCCGACCTATTTGTTTCAATTTTCCTGTCTGTAAAAATGGTGTAATCTCTTAGAATTGTGGAAGTCTTCTATTTCTGTAATCGGTGCTGGGTGATGTTCATACCAGTGTTTTTTAACATCTTTTCCGAAGTGTTTGCACATTGTCCAGTGTAAATATTTCCCCTTCTATCGTAACGATTTTTATATTTATTTGGCGCAAGTGCAGAAGATCCTGAAATTAGATGGTCTACGGTTTCCTGATATTTGTCACAGAACTTGCATTTTGGATCCACACTTTTATGTATGATATTTGCCTGAAAGATTCTAGTGAAATTACTCTAATCCAGATGCTCGTAACTATCGACGAGCGTTAACTTTATCAACATCGGCTTTATTAGCCTCGTTCTGGATATTGTCCTTGCAGAGGTTTGTCTTGCAGGCATTGTTTCATCTGTTCAAGAGCTTTATACTTGGTTATCTTTTTCATCATTTTTGCTGCAACAGGTGGTTCTTTGGTTCTGTTTTGGTTTTCTACAGAATCTACTAAATTATTATTATCATTGTTTTTATTTCCTTTGTTTTCTGGCGTGTACACATTTCTTTCCGGGTCCCGCCCAGAGATCTAAGGTTAAAAATGGCATCATGACACTTTCCACTGACAAAAAAAAACAATAAAACATATTTTACATAGATAAAGCCCTTCGTAAAGTGTGGGTTGTACTTGTGAGAACAATTTTTGTATTTCTTTGAGGCATGGGCTTCCAGGAATCCCTTCAATTAGTCTACTGGAATCTTTTCCAACCAATCCTAGGGCTACAACAGAATTATTATTATTATTATTATTATTATTATTACATATATATATATATATATATATATATATATATATATATATATATATATATATATATATATATATATATATTCAGGCCGGTAAATGATATTAATACTGTTTATTATAAACAGAGCATTTACTTAAATATTTGTATCTATAAAATAATGTATAAACACGAAAATATATATATGGTTGGATTGATGTGAGTTTGTGACCCTGGGTTTCACGCTTTTGTTTGTCTGACGATCGCAAAAGCGTGAAACCCAGGGTCACAAACTCACATCATTCCAACCAAACATGTTAGCTCTATCTCTAATATTTAGCGCTTTCTAATAAGTACCGCGCATATAATATATAAATAATAATATATATAATATATTACATATATATATATATATATATATATATACACACACACTGTTCGCACACACACACACATATATATATATATATACACACACACACACACATGAGAAATATATATACTTTTGACAAAATATATACATACCAAATACTTAACAGATGAATTCGATCCCCCTCCCATTTTGTATTCGAGAACATATAAATTCTAATTCTTATTCTGAGCTGGTAGCATAACGGACATCAGCGCAGATAAAGAAAGTGACGAGCCTTACTGAAAATTTCGATGAGTTTGTTGTGTTTGTTTTCGCATTGTTACCTTGGAGAAAAGTAAGATTCCGTTTCATCTCCCCTCCCTCCGCCAAGTGTTAAATAGAAGTGTAGTCCGAGTTCTCTGTCTTTGAGTGGCAACCAGTCTAAAAGAAGGAAAACCACAGATAATACAGAAATGTAACCGTGTGAATCCTGATCAGCTACATCTTAATGGGACATGAAAAACAAAAAACAAACCTTCTCCCACTTGAATGACTGACTCAAGACAAACTTTCAACCATTACATTTATAAAACCTGCAGTAACTGCATCGTATAAATATCTAAAACTGCACCTACAAGTGAAACGGTGCCAGAGGGCGAACACGTGTAAACTAGTGTGAATTGTATGCGCAT